GAGCTAAGTATTTTTATTCTTACATGTTGGTAAGTAATTGAATTATGTTTTTCTTATCTTCCGGTTAAGATTTTTATGCCTTTAGGTAATCTACATGCAATAGTTGCAGAATTATCAATTATTTAAAAGTTGTTTAGTAGAACTAAGCCTAACGACGTCGCCATTTGTTTGCATGTTTTTCACCAAAGACAGCGTCTTTCTGGCCGAGTGCGACCAAAAGTAAACTTTCAATTTTGTGCACCTAAAAATCTGTCTTCCTGCCCATTAGCCGAATTGCTTGTTTTTGCGTAGAACTTTAATTTTAATTGTAAAAAAAAATAATGTATTTGGCGTTAAGCTACAGTGAGTAAGAAAAGAATACAAGTATGGTTACATTCTTCATATTGTTGAACAGTATTAGAAAGCACAGCGAAATGTACCAGTACATTATAATGCTGTTTATTGTGCTTAGAAGTAAATTAGCATAAGTGTTGTCATCAGCAAAGGCTTTCAATTGTCGTACTCTGATTAAACTATGTTTCTGCTTGAAGTTTTTGACAATAGTATCATTTCAAGATGATTATCGCCCTCTTAGTCACCTGATTTGCTGCTTACATATTTTTCCTTGCTTCTAATAGTATTAATGCACAGCAAGAAATTTATTATAAAACCTTAATGATTGCAATAGAACTAATTTTTGCAGCCAGTTAGAATATTTCTGAAAAGTTATGATATATCATAAATTAAAAGACAATTAAAAAAATATGTGATTATTAATTTAATCTAAGTTTAATATTAGATAAATAAAAAAGTTAAATTTCATAAAGCAAAATGTTTAACAATTAAAAGTTTTACGGAAAGGAATTTAGACAAATATAAAATCAAGTTTAACATTGTGGTAATTTTCTAAGAACAGAATAATGTCGTCCGAAATTTGCAGCCTTATTTTGTAAAGTATTTACTTGGAATGTTTATATACACGATCACTCCATTTATTGGCATTCTGAGTATATTAAATTAAAGCATAGATTATTGTTATATTTAATTATTGCTCCTGATTAAAACTAAACCGAACATTTTTGGGTAATTTGGAAATAGAATGTTTTTTCTAGTTTTATTTTTTATCGATTTAGAGAAAGCTATAATAATAAATATAACACATATTTTATATTTCAGAATATAGTGGACTCCAATTATCCATCAATCTCGGGACCATTGTCATGATCGATAAGAGAATAAACAGTCAATAGAAACTTCTCCCATCAAAACACCCAAATTTGGGCAATCGGAAACGAAGAACCATTTTCATTGTTTTATACATAGTATAACAAAAATCGAACTTAACGACTAAGACGAAAACTCCTTACATAATTGCTCCATAGCTTATTTACTATTATCTTTTGTAAAAATATAGTGCTTAAAATAAATCTAAAACAATTATTTTCCTCGAGAGCTTTAATTCACAATTTAAATTGAAATAAAATGCAATGTTGTATTTTTTACTTATTGCGGCAACAAAAGCATATAGTATTTATGTTATATTATACAGTGCGTCCGTCATGGTGCACTTTTGATCGGTCACAGGAAAGCAACAAAACAAGGCAGAAATGTGAAATCTTTACCAAACAAAAGAAAACCTCTTAAAGTTTCATACCTATTCAGTGTAGTTAGATGCATGCCGTCACAGTCTACTCCGCAAAGAAAAATTGCCCTATCACTTTATCATGCATCAGGCTACACCACACGTTCACTTTAGGGCTGTTACGTTTGTACTGTACGTGGGCATGAGGATTTTCAGCAGTCCATATTCAGATGGTATGGCGATGAACATGTCCACTAACGGGGAATGTCGCCTTATCGCTAAACATAATCTTCTGCAGAAGTCCGTTACCACTTTCCACCTCATGAAGCATATCTGTAGCAAACGCAAATCGTTTGGGTCTATCCGTCGGTTTGATATCGTACAACAGCTGCAATTTGTAAGGGCTTCTTAGGTAACTCTTCCATATAGCCTTTACAGACTCATCACTGACCGATGGCCTGCCAAAACGGGGTTTGCCCAACAAACTGCCGGTATCCTTCAACTGCTTATCCCACCGATTAATGTTATTTCTATGTGGTGGCGGTTCGTTGTACACGCGGCTATATTCACGTTGCATTTTGGACACGGATTCGAATTCGGAAAGCCACAGAAGACACTGAACTTTCCTCTTTACGGTCCACATCTCGACTGGGGTGGGCGCGGATGGGCTGATCTGCTCCTTCGCATTTCGCGGCTACGTCATCACCTGTGTGCGCACATGCCTGCACATAAACTACGGAAACTTGGAGAGTTTTCCTTTTGTTTGGTGAAGATTTCACATTTCTATCTTGTTTTGCTGCTTTCCTGTGACCGGTCAAAAGTGCACCATGACTTTACGGACGCACTATATATATCATAACAGGACAATGCTTGTTCTTTCATGTATTATATAGTTAAAATAGTAGCAATGAGTTAAAATGCATACAGAATTTGATTACAGTATGTATTTTAATGCTACCGAACGATATACTAATAGAACTTAACAGAAAAATTTTTAATGGAAGAAATTTTTCTATGTGGTTGTATTTGATAGGACAATACTGCATTCTTCAAAACAGAATTGTAGTTTTTCATTTTAAATATGGTGATCAAACAATCATATTCTTTTCCAGAATATGGGGTATTTTAAATTATGAATTTTTTCCCGGTCCCTGGTTTTTATTTTTATATTTAATTTTATTCTTAATTTTTGGCGGATTCATACTTTCCATTGTATTGTCTACGTGACAGATGAAAAGCAGAAACCGGTCCTCAAAAGGATAATAGATAATTGAGTTTTACTCTAGTACTTACATTGAAACGTATCTTTAAGTCAAAGTATTCTCTTAAAAATTCACATGCTATCAATATTTGTAAATATTAAACATTAAATATCCGCAGAAAACAGTTTTAAAATTCCGAATGAAATTTTTTAGGCTGAAATTTAAATTGCAAATGTCTGAAAAGCTTAAATGAAATAATGTACCTTCTGTTTCTCATACCTGTTTAAATTCTAGCTTGTTACTTAAAGTCTGTGTTTCAAATTTTATATTCATGGCAGGAATAACGAATTCACGATTACATGTTTATTTGCTTCTGAATTTCTGAATGATATTTCTCGTTAGTGTAAAATAAACCTCCTTTCCTTTTCTTTTAAATTTATATGCCATTCGTGAAGTAAACATAATCACCCCTGAAAGTAATTTTTCAAATAAAATAAGAAGAAATCGAAAAGCTTTCAGATTTTATATTATGCCCAAAGGGGCATTTTTTTTTATTTATACATAACACACACGAGAGACATACACACATACATACGTTTCCTTAAGTTACATACGTTTCTCGATGGAGATAAAAATATTTTATTCTGCACAGTGTGTTGCCACCGCTCACTTTAAAATCATCGAATTTCTTAGTCAAAAATTCGTTACAGTTATTACAGTTATAAAGTATAAAATAGATAATAAAACAAATTCGAAATTCCAGATTCGTCTTCCAGGTGCTTATACGCGGGTAGAGGTCTACGTTATTCAAAATTTGATGGCTCTAGGTACCGTTGTTTTTCGAGAGAGCATACCAAATGAGAGAAGCATGTATACATTCATATACATCCATTATTATTTAATTTCTTTTAATGTATTACAGGTAATATTTGGTGGCAAGAATTTGAAAAGTGATTCAGCCGTTTATAGTGATTCAACGCAAAATGCCCTTTCGAGAATAATGGGCCTTCTGAGTTAGCGCCCATTCGGGATAATAATTATAATAATCGCAATTTTAATTATTACTGGTTTAGGTCAATTAAATTTTTTATCAAGGTTTGTAAAATAAACAGATTTTTCAAAATCAAAATATGTAAATATCTAGGAACAGCATTACTTCTTTATAATATTGTCAGCAGCTTTACAAGATATTAACTTAATTGCAGACTGGCTCCATGGAAAGCTGTAAAAAGTGTTATAAAATGCACAAGATGAAACAATACTTTTTAAGAAGATATTAGTTATAATCTTTATACATGCAATGAAAAGGACTGAATCTTATCACTGGTATACATGAAATAGTTCTTTTCAGATTGTAATACGACTGAAGAGGATTTAATCATGTTTCCTTTATTTTCGAGTCAGCGGAAGAATGTACAAAATGTTCTAAGTATTCATTTTCTCTCAAATGTGAAAATATGTATATGTCTTCAAACATTTGCAAGTTTACCAATGGTTGGGAATGGCAATTTCCTAATCTGCCCTTTCTCGTTCCATTTTGTGCTCAAAAGATCTAAAATACAGGATATCAAATACAGAAAATAAATAAAATAAGGATCGTTATTTAATTATGACAAAGGGCTCAAGAGCTACTTCCATAAGGAAGGAATTTTTTTTGGAGGGGGGTGGAAGCTGGTAGTTTCTTTCATCATATACGGCGAAAAACATAAATCTCAGGCAGCCAGGACATTCTCTGAGAATCGAATTCAGGGGCACTGGAATTCAGTGGTTTCAGTGCATTAATGGAGACAGGTTGTACTTGGAGAAAATCGAAAAAGTGCTCATGCAGCTGCTAGCTTATTTCGATCGTATCAAAAGCTGGAATGTTCGATCGCTGTCAGCCGCTCAGCCACTGATGGCCTAAAATAAATAAAGAAGGAAACAAACAAACAAAAAAGACAAGAAAAAAAGACTTGTTTTTTCAGCTGTAGCTCTACTTCATAGGTAGAATAGTAATTTTAGATTAAGTGGACAAAATACTTCATCTGATCATCACAATAACATCATTCACAACCAATAACATCAATCACATACACAACTAAAGAACAGAAACTGTAGTAACTGGCCATGAAGATTGTGACTAAAAATGGCGGAACCAGTTTGTTGGTTTACACGTGAAAACAAACGATAAGAGATAAAGACGTCACTCTATGATGTCATCTGCTCTATAATACGAATGCTTTCAGCCGGTTCTGCCAAACTTGACACTTTGCTGCAGAAACTGCCGTCTGTTTACTTTGTTGACGATCAAAATCCCCAGCGATTCGAAATTTTTCCGTAAGTTTTCTGTCACCACTTCTCTTGTGTCGTCGTGCTTAAAACGTATGGAAAGTTTCTGAATCTCGGGGATTTAGTTTGTCCCGAAATCTTTGCTTTTGGAGTTTTTAGAGTTGTGCAGTGTTGAAAAATATTCATTAAAAATGATTCCACGCAGAAAACCAGTTCACAGTGCTCGCGAGTAACCAGCTGATACCGCCAAGAGTTTCTAAAGTGTTTTGCACCACCAGCGTATCTACCATCAGTTTACAAAAAACTTTCTTGAGACTTTTTTTCCTCTACATTTACTACTTTGAATTTTTACTGTGTCAGACTTACAAGTTTATCGTATCACATATATACAGAGCCCTAGTTTCATACTTTCATCGTCATATTTAACAAAATAAAGCTGCTAATATCTTAAAAATAAAGTTTGGAATTCTTTCTTCTAAAATCCCGATGAACTATTTGGAAATAATGTGTTCTTCATCTAAATTAACTTGTTCTAAGCAGCTGCATTGGATTTACGGTCAGGTGAGGTGACAGATTAAGCCCTTACTATACTAAGCGAAATATCGAATCTCAAGAATATTTGTTTGTTGCCAACAGTTTTCAGCAATAATGAACTTACTTGCCATTTTGGCTTGCCAGGAGGGATTTCTCGCTAAGAATAAGAAGAATGTTCTTCTTATTTTCTATTCGATTTGTTTTGCTCTCTATTTAGCTCTTGGAGGACTAAGTTTTTTGGTGTTGGAAGGTCAGCAAGAAGATACTATGCAGCAAAAGATTTTGGATGTCAAAACCAAGGTTACTAAAAAATACCCAGATGTTCCTGGTATGTTAATTTTAACAATTTAATACACTTGCTAATTATGAATAATAATTAACTTATCAGTAAAATAAGTGAAATTTTATCTTGTTCCGAAGTTTAATATATGTAAATGCCAAGACAAGTTTACGCTTGAATTAAATAAACAATAGCTTAAAAAGGCCTCAATAACTTATTTTATTATCATTATTATTTATTATTCTTTAAGAAACTGATGAAAATACTTTTTCCCGTGATGAAATATGGTAGCTCATACAAATATATTTTACTTATTTTAAATAGATTACATAAGTATATATTTTGTTTGGCCTCAATAACTTATTTTATTATTATTTATTATTTTAAGAAACTGATGAAAAAAAGTATTTTCATTGATGAAATATGTTAGCTCATACAAATATATTTTATTTGTTTTAAATAGATTACATAAGTATATAGTTTGTTTATCGGTTTTGAAAAAACTTTGTTTGAACTGGTACTTTGTTGAAGTACTTTTGACATTCCTTAATGCTTGAAAACAGTATGTAATTATCTTATTATTACCTTTTAACTTTGTTTATGAGTATAAACATTTCTGTTAAAGAACTATATATTTAATACCAAATACAGACATTTGTTAATTAAAAAAACCTTTAAGAATATCGTTTGTCTTTAAAAACATCGAAAACATTGTACCATATACTTTTCTATTTTAGAGGGTTAATAAGCATATAAACGTATAAGAATTAATTTTCCAAAAATTTTAATTTATTTTCATAACTAATAAATTAATAGGAACAGGACAAAATGATAACTATTTTAGTAAAGCGCACTCACTACCAGATATATATGAAGTAACTATGTTTGGTTTGGTTTGGTTTATGCTATTACGACAAAACCTCGGAGGCTATCAGCCTAAGGGGAGGGATGCCTTCGTGGAAGACTTTTTAAGGAAAACTGGCTCGTATACATGTTACACATGGGGAAAGTTACGAAATTGCCCATGCAGCCAGCCCATTCTCGGGATTCGAACCTCAGACCAAATTATCAGTGGTTATCGACTTTACCACTCGGCCTCTGGTGTGCATGGATGTTTAGCTTAGACTAAGTGAATAGTTATTAAAAAAAAACTTTATTTTATTTTATTTAACTTTTATTTCAAACTTTTATTTTATTTTGCTATTTTTTCCCCACAAACAGAACCCCACAGACAAAATTTTTTATTTACTATACTGCAAATGAAGGAATTTTATTTTTGTATTTACCGATTTTATTCGAACGAAAATTATATAGTAAAAAAAAAAAAAATAATAATTTGATTTCTGTGAAACAAAATGCAAAATATATTTCTCTCAGTAAAATTAAGGAATAAAATTACTTTTATTAGCCTAAACATGTAAGTTATATTTATTTTAACTTACGAAAAAATAAAGAAACTGACTTTTGTTTAAAGGAAATTGACATTTTTGATTGACATAAATTGACATAAATTATCACATAAGGGTTATATACCGCATTAAAAAATACAACATATTTTCGCGAGAAGTTATAAGGTATTTGTCCCACCTTCTTGACATGCCTTCGTGGTGAGGTGGTCTGCACGCTGGGCGCGTATTGGAAAGGTCCGCGGTTCAATTCCCAGCGAAGGCTTCGCTAATTTTTCATCTTGCCTGCTTCCAAAAATACCTAATGTCTCTACAAACCTTCCGTAATTATTTTCCGCTGTTTTCCCCAAATATACATCGATTTGTTTTCTCTCAAAAAACGTCAGAGAACTGCACAAAGTTGGCACTGCGCACCAGCTGTGTGCCAAACATATTTCGTGGCATGTGGCATGTGGAAGACCAAATTTGAAATTTGGAATTTGTTTTATTATCGATTTTATATTTTGTAAAACTTTAATGAATTTTTGATTACCAAACTCAAGAATTTTAAAGCGAGCAATAGCAACACTCTACGGGGAAAAAAAAAAAAAAAAAAAAAAAAACACCACCTTTTTATTTCTAGCGCGCGGAACTGTGTATCGGAAATTCTAAAGAAAGTCTCATCTTAAAATTATTTCGCGACATTGCTATTGAACTGAATTTTATGGTTTAAGTGCAAAGAACGTGATATTTAATAAATAAAAGTAACACACAAAATGTTAAAAAAACGCCCCCTTTGAACGTAATTTAAAATCTGAAACATTTCAGATTTTTCTTTTGTTGTTTTTTAAATTTTTAAACTTATGTAATAAATACATGATTTCAATGAATGAAAAATGTGAAAACATATGAATAAGCTAAAAATCTTAAATTCCTTCTGCGCAGAAAGAAAAGCAAGTAAACCTTGATAGCTGTAGACTGGATAATTTTATATTCAATATAAATTGATAAGTTCAATATTAATTACCATTATATGTATTCTTTTGCGGTTCAGAGAAATTGATATGATTTTGTCTAAGCTCGAACTAGAATTATCAATGAAATATTAAATCACGCAAACAAAAATAATTCAAAAATGTCAAAATAAAATTACGAAAGAAATTTTTTTACGTCTGGCGTCAAATCTATTCCATAATGTATAGTTTACAGTTAGAAATGTCAGTTATTTATAATGAATTCTGTGTAAAATTTATTTATTATGTGAATTATGTGAAATTTGTATTTCCTTAGAAAACTTCCCATTTACTGCAATTAAAAGTGGTTCCAAACTTAAGAATAAACCATTGTAGATGCAGAGAACTTTCACTTATTGTCTATTTATATTGATATTTAGTCATTTGAAAATGTTGAGATACTTCTCTAAGCGGTTATCTCTTCTTTTAAACCGCTATTAGCACATGGTTTCGAATTCATAGCTATTATTTTAGCGATTTTACCGCACGTCCGCTGGTAGTCCAGTACTGGAAGGAAAACATACGTCAAAGCAGAAGTATTAGGACTCTCTTCTTCAGAAAATTTCTGAGCAAAAATAATCATTAGGAAGACTCTTTGAAACTAAATTCGGCGTTATTCCTGCAGTTTTCTGTTTCTTAGTTTTACCATAAACAGTGATGATTACTACTGTCGAAATCTTAAAACTGTACATTACACTTAACAAAATTGGTCTAGTTTGATTATTAAAGATACTTTATTTCTGCAAGGCAATGCATGCCTTAATACTGCCCATTAAACGATTTGCACTTTCTGAGAACCCAGCATGGAGTTGCTGCCATACTTTTATTACATGCCGAATTTTACGTATTTTTTATATACTTGAATTTTTAAACAAATTCTTCAAAGACAGAACATTAGAGAGAAGAACCTCCCTGACCTAGGTCTTGAAAGCCCTTAACATGGTATTGATGCCTCAACATCTAGAGGCGATTCATGAGTGCGCCACCACTGTGGTCAGCCAGGGCGATAAATATGGACAAAGTCAGTTTTATGAAACGCAAGACAAAGACAACCGGTCGCCTATACAAAAAGAACGACGAAAACAAGTCAACGTCTGTCCCCCCAGTGCTGACCAACGGAGGCTAAACTCCCGAGGTACCAGTACGGTCGCTGCCGAGCCTAAACTGATCACCAAAGAATCGTGGTTCTAGTAAGGCGAAGGCAGTCTATTTACTCCAGGAGACGAGTCTACCTACGCACAGATTTTAGCCAGACCGCCGAGGATTGCCTCCCAAGTCGAACTCCTGGGGGGGGGTGCCAGTTGCGGAAATGCTCCGGGGCGACAGCATTTTAGAAACAGGCGATCAGGTGAAGATGTTAGGTTTTTCGAAGCAGGAAGCAATATAGGCTGCGGTAAGGATGGCACCTGTGCATTCCCGTAAGTATACATTAAGCATCACCAGGTTTTGCTAATTGTTAAGCTTCTCAGTTTTGATGGAGAACATCTCGAAAAGAGGCGGTTCGAAGATTCCCACCCTTCTTCCCCAAACATCAACCTCTCGAGAGAACTTTCGGCTCGCCATGTATTTTGAATGATCCTTTGCCGCTACATACCTTATAAACATCCATGCTTTTTCCGGTATTCGAACCCACGCCCATCGGTATCGGCGTCAGCGTCACTAATTACTAGACCAGTTGGGCGTCTAAAGGCGGAAACATGTGAAGCAGGTAATAACTTCAGACCTTTCGATTGCAACCGGACGTGCTTTCCCATTAAGTGCTTCTACGAAGGCATGCAGGAAATAGAGAGAAAATACCTTGCATTCTCCCACTACACACACTGAAAACGTGACAGGATCCTGTCATGTTTTCAGTGTGTGTAGTGGGAGAACTAATTGCCAGATTCCGGTGGTGACGAATTATCGTCCACCATCATTTTAGTTCAGACGCCACTCTCTGAACATTGATTGAACATTGATTTCATAATTTTTAGATATTTCAAAGCAGAAAATCTAAAAATTATGCAATGCCCTCATCGGGATTGGAACTCCGGACCTTTCGATTGCTCGCCGGACGTTTTTTCTAATTATACTTCGAAGGCCAGCGGTAAGGACAGAGAAAAATACCTTAGAAAGTAAACATTGTTCTGGAGTTTTTTCTACGCTGCTAGAATCGAAGCACTAGTGAAACGCTGGGATAAATGTATTACTGTAAAGTCAGAGGCATTACACTCAGAAATAAAAGTCGTTTCCACTATCTACGTGAGTTATCCTGAAAAATCAAACGTTTCAAATTGACTTCAAAACCCTTAGTAATTTTACTTGATTAATGGGTTTTCTTCATCAAGCACGTGTAAATCGCCATAATGGAAGACAGGGATTTTTAAAAATGGTATTGTTTTCATTCAAGTTCTTCACGCTAAATTACCACTCCTTAGTGAAACTGTCTGTCTTCTGTCTTATTACATTGCCTGAATCGTTTAATATTTAAGTGTGAAAACAAGTAGTTTCTAATCAAGAACTTAAGGTTCTTTTCAGATTCTTCGCTTGAAGCTTATAAAGCAGGTAAATGTACAACAATTGAGTACAAAGGTATAACGACATTCGCAGATTAAAATAACGTTATGCGTTAAGACTATTGTTAAGTATGTATGGTATAGCTCACTTTTTC